AGCCTTCCGTGCTGCCTCCTGAGGTGCTCCGGGAAGTGACGCCTCCACCTGTGGAGGCAGGTAGAAACCACTGTCATAGTGAAGGTGTAGGGGAGAAGCTGGTGCCCCACTGAATGGCAGAGTTCATTGATGTAAGAAAGTCCCCCTGCTCAGAACCCAAGTGACATGAGATTCCATTTCTCGAGCTCTCTGCTCCTCTCCACATGCCAAGGCCAATGTCTCGGCTTGGCACCAGAATCATGAGGCACTCACAGCTTTGTAGGTTCAAACAGCAATTCTTTATTCCCGCTCTCACACCGCCTCCACACAGGTCCAGGGGCAAACACGTTCAGCCGTCTCCCGCACAAACCACCTACTCCACGAGGCTCTCTCCAAATCCCATTTTAATCTCACGAGAACTCAACGGGAACAAGCAGCAGGAACACCCTAATCCCAGCAATAATCTTCAATCTCCAACTTCCCTAAAACCCATTATCTTAAACTGGCAACGCCTTAAACTCAAGGAGCTGGTTACTTCCTCAAACCTGATCAGCTCTAAACCTGGATCCGCCTTGGTCCTTGAGCAAGGTCACCTTATTAAAGCATGCATGCAATGTCCCATCGAATGTCCTCTAAGCAGCATGGGGTACGCTTGGCAAGGAAATTTCGATGCGTCATTCCTACTTGGTAATGGCCCTCAGCATCCACACAGGCTCCCTGGAACACCACAGGGTCTTTGTAGGACTCATTTGGTGACTCTCAGGCCCATCGGGGACAGATCAGCCTAGGGGTTCTGCCATTTGCCTATCTTTCCATCCAGGTCCAGCCTCACCTGGAAACCCACATTTCAACCTCTCGTGACCTGGCTGGATGTGCACTGGACAGAGGTCTCAAAATGATTGTTCCGGAAAACTGGCCAGAATGGTTCAGAAACAGCACATATCTCCTTAGATTCTGATTCCACTTTGCAGACAGATCTTCAAACTCCGTTGAGTTTCCATGGTCCTGCCCCTCCACGTGAGATCTAGCAGGTTACATATTTCATGAACAAGTAGCAGACGTTCCTTCGGTATGTTCTGCTTGAGTTTGCAGTATTTACTCTGCCCGGCACACAGTACATTTAACTCATAAGCTGCGCAATGGAAGTCCTTGCCTTGGAATTATGTAAAACCCGGTGGAACCTGGTGGAACCCTGCGCCTGCGGTTCGCTGGGTGATGCTGTAGCAGGGACAGCGTCCTAGTTCCGCTGCCGGGCTGGTTATGTAAGACGTTCTCACTGGGAAAGCTGGGTGAAGAGTACACAGGAACAGGCTGTCCTCCGTTTGCAAATTCTTTTGAGTCTTAAATGATTTCAAAATAAAAAGTTGTTTTTTTTTTTTTAAATAGCAAGACAGAATCTAGGAAGCTATCTAGTGTAGTTGTTTTCAACTTTAATTTTAGCAGCAGTCTCCCTGTCTTGCCCAACTCTTGCATCCCCACCCTCAGCAACTCCAGGCTCCTCCTGACATCCAAAGGGCTCTGCGAAATCCCATTTTTAAAACTCCATTCCCAGCCCACCCCTTCAGGGAGCAAAGAAGTAAAAGGAGTCACTTCTTTGGCGTCTGTTAGATGGAACACAGAGAACCTGGGAGGTTTGCACTGCCAGTTGGTCTCTGCAGAGTGGCGTGAGTCATAGCTCTCGAGCCAGCCCTGTGGTTTCTTTTGTCTGAGGAGGTGCGATTAATTAGATTGGAGAGGAGTTTCCATAGTCCTGCCTTCCGCGCCTGTGGTGCGGGAGATGGAGTCGTCCTCATGGTTGAGACAGGGCATGGGGCAGTCTGGGCTGGAGGCAGTTCACCGTTTACTACTCGGGACGATTGCCAAGCAGACTTCCTCAGAGGGCCAGGCACAGGGTGCAGGGAAGGGGAACACAGGACCCAAGAAGTCCCCTGGCTCCTGCCTGCTCAGCCTCCGCTCTGACCACCAGTGAGAACTGACACTGGCTTGCTTTCCTCTTCCTGCCCTTCAGGCCCAAGTCACAAAGTACTTTGGGCAGACATTGGGCACCTCGAAGTTTACACCCAATATAATAATGATCAATTTGTCCAGAAATTTTGCAAAACCTTCCTCCTGTGTTCCCTCTGTTGAGCCTCACTGTTAGCCCATGACACAGGTGGATCAGTTTTACTTTGGCTTTATGGATAAGCAAGGAGACTTCTCCAGGGTCGCAGAACTTGTGCCGGGGCTGGAGTCAGAATCCTGGTACATATCCTCTTTAGAAGAGACTCTCATTCCAAACAGAGACCTCGGCTGTTGGAAAGTACCTGCTCACACTGGAGGGCCCCCCAGCGCATGGTGGCAGTCACTGCTGTAGTTCATGCCACACTCAGGGCCCGAAGGACTCCAGGACTTGGTGGCTCAGGTGGAAGCCAAGGTTTTCTCTCTCGCTACACCTCCCAACCATTAGAGCCCGAAGACGCCATGTGGGTGTCAGATGAGGAGGATTTAGGTTTTCCTGAAAAGTGAAGCACATGGTCTGCGTGCCTCTCCAGGAGCCAGGAGAGAATCTTTGTGACAGTCCACTGGCAGGACGGCCACCCTGGAGCTACCGGCACACACATACTGCAGAGGGCTCTGTGTGAGCTGCCACCCTTCATTCCCCACCTCTTGTTGATGCTTGTTTCTGTGGTGGGGAGTGGCTCTCCTACTCCCTCAGCCTCCTCTTTGCCTTCCACAGTGGAGGACACAACCTCCACCGTCAGCTTGGGTACCACTAATTGGCGCTGACACTAGACTGTCCCTTCAACATTCTGCTTGTGTCCTGGGAAATCGGGGGGCATCTTTAATGGTGGGAACTAGGGCTGCATTGACAGCTACCACTTGCCTAGGAAAAATAACCTCTGAAGGAGGATGTTGACATATATATATATCGAGAGAGAGAGACATTTAGAAGGTAAACTAGTGACCTGCTTCACGAATATTGTTAATCATTTACACATGTATTCAGCTAGTACCTGTGAGGCACTTGCTAAATATCTGTCAAATGACCTTCTAAGTGCTGGTTCTCAGTCTTTAGCACGACTTTGAGCCTCGGCGTCACCTGTGGTGCCTGCCAAAGCACAGACCAACCCTCCCCTGAAGCTTCTGATTCAGTTGTTCTGGGGAGAAGCTAAGTAATGTGCATTTCTAACAAGTTCCAGGAGGTGCGATGCTGTGCCAGGGCTGGGGTCAGCAGGCATGTCAAAAACCATCGTCTTAAAGCTGGGATTGACAAGCTTCCTGAAAAAGCCAGTCGGCAGATATTTTAGAATCTGTGGCTGGTACAGTCTCTGTCGTAACTACTCTGCCATCTTAAGCACAGAAAATGTGTAACTAAATGAGCATGGCTGTGTTCCAGTAAAATATTACTTATAAAAATGAATGGTAAATTTATTTTTTTTAAATGTGTTGCAAATTTAAAAAAAAGAAAAAGTGCCAGATTCTCATTCTGGGTAAATTGTTGAATATTTTTAGGATGATGGTCAGATGGTGGTCAAACCCTAGCTCTGACATTCATGAGCCATGTGACTTTGTAACAGTAATTAATCTCTCTGTAAAATGAAGGTAATAATTATGCAGAGAAAAATAGGGGAAAAGCACTCACTTTTTTAATACCTTTATTTATTTATTTATTTATTCATTTATTTATTTATTCATTCATTCATTCATTCATTCATTCATATGTAGTGCTGAGGATGGAACCCAGTGCCTCACGTGTGCTAGGCGAGTGCTCTACTGCTGAGCCACCACCCCAGCCCCAAGTACTCGCTTTAGTCACATCTAGGTGTGCATCCCTGTGTGGTTTGGTAATCTTTAGGCTTTTCTGCACAGTGATGTCTTCCAGGATTTTCCAATCCATGTCTTTAAAAAGGAATCTTAATCACCCATTGGCACATACTAGGCTTACCCTGAAATCGCCTTTGGAATTTCAGTAGCTCGGAGATCCTTAGAAAGTCGAAAGCCAAGAATGTCCTTCTTCATGTCTCTGTGTATTAAAGAAGAAATTGACCTTGACATGTGTAAAAAGAAGCTCTTGATCTGCTCTGTCCCAAACCCTGCCCTCTGCAGTCTTAATTCAGTGGGTGCCAGTGCTGTCTGTAGAGCGCCTCAATCCACAAAGAGAGAGACTGGGGAGGAAGCATTCAGAGAGTTAATGAGCGGGTCCCAAAGGTGCATGTTGAATATGGAATTGGTTTGTAGTTCAGATAGAGCATAAATTTCTTTCTGCTCAGCCTCTTCTTTCACACATTAGTTAATGGAAGCTCACCTCTTCTAGGCGCATGGCTCTCCCCAGGCTTGAGGCAGGCTTCCAAGCATCTTATGCAGATGGGTTTCTTTTGTCTTCATAACAACCCTGGAGAAAATAGGTGCTGTCAATCCCCCAGTAGGCAGATAAGGGGGATTGACCACATGTGACTTGACCACAGCCATACCTCTGGAAAGAGCAGAGCCCTCTTGAACCACTTCTCGTGGTAGGAGGGAGTAAAATGCAGTGGCCCTAGGGACATCTCAGTGCGTTTCCAGGGATCTCCCTACCCCGTTGGAGTTCCCCCATGCAGAGGTGTGTAAACTGTGGAGAGACTGTATCCAAGCAGGAAGAGGTCCCCATTGGTTATAGCATGTACCTGGTTCACAGGGTGATGTTTTTCTGGAAACCTCATCCAGGAGATTTCCTGAAGGGCCCTTTGGTTCCATTTCACAAACACGCCTCGTGACCCTGTTAAGGGCCTGTGCTGTACCACAGCCTGTGCTGGGTGCTATGAAGACATACCAGATTCTTTAAACCAGTGCACTTGCCCTATGGTCTTTGATAACACTAAGTGGAAGCCATAATTTGGGAGGAAAACCTTGGTGGGTGCAAATCGTACCCTGAAAACATGGTAATAGTTACCTTAAAACATGATGCGGCAAAATGCCACCACCACCCGTTTGTGTAACTCCAGAGAATGGCACCTCGTCTGTTGTGCTAGAAAGGATTGATGGTGTGCTTCTTCTCTCCGCAGGACCCCAGGAGCAAGCACAAGTTTAAAATCCACACTTATGGGAGCCCTACCTTCTGTGATCACTGTGGGTCACTGCTGTATGGACTTATCCACCAAGGGATGAAATGTGACAGTAAGTAAGTTTTTCTCTTCCAGTAGATGGTGAGATGCTGTGGCTCGTACCCAAAGTTTAGTGAGCACGGGAAGTCCGGTAACTTCTCAGTACCAGCACATCAACAGGGAGAATTCGTTCATATAAAGAGCTGGCTAGAAATGTGTAGAAGCTCGCCACTGTCCAAGTTCTACTTATTTGCCTAATTATGAACCAAAAAAAAAAAGTACACTTGGTTTATAAATGAAGTTAGTAGGTGCCGTCACCTCTTTTTCTTTTTTTAAAGGAGTAGAAGTCTTCAGTCCTTGTAAAATGCAGGCTAGTCAAACCCCAAAGAAGGCTCCCCACCTCCAGATTCCACATTTGGGTAGGCTTCAAAATAAGCTAAGCAACCACAGTCATTATCTTCCTCTGTCTCTAATTAGTGGGTGGACGATGGAAAAATCCAGTAGGCTCTCCTTAAAACCGAAGCCAGAATGAACATAAATACAAGATAGCATCTCTCTTAAGTTCACTCACCCTGCCTGTTTATGAACAGATCAAATTTATATCAGTCCAGTTCAAGATAAAAATCATTGAGCGCCACTGACGGAGAAGACAGATCCCAGGCCCCTCTCCTCTCTGGTCTCGGATAGTTCTCTGACAAATACCAGGAGGAAAGAAGAACAGCTATGGAAACTCTTTGCTTTGATGATTTTTAAATTATGAGATTCCCCAGGATGTTTGTTTAAATAAAAGTTAATGCTTTTAGGACATAAAAAGGCAATTATGAGTTCCATTTTTCTAATAGGCAAATGTTATGGAAATTTCAGCACATTCTCATTTGCTAATGACCACTGTAATGGCCCAGAGTTTTGTATTTGTATCCCACATGGAGCAAACACAATATTAAAAAAAAATAAATATACAGAACACTATAGAGTACATGGAATGTGGAATGGGAGGTATTTGCTTTCTGAAGTGGTCCAATTTAACAGCCTAATGAAAGTTCTGTGATCATCCAGACCAGAGGCCTTCCATGCTTCAAGAATTGCTAGGTTTGGGCTTTGATTGTGGCTCAGTGGTAGCACTTGCCTAGCATGCACAAGGCACTGGGTTTGATCTTCAGCACCACATAAAAATAAATAAATAAAATAAAGATATTGTGTCCATCTACACCTAAAAAAAATTAGGAGAAATAAAAACCTCTAGGATTCCAAAGATGGTTTTCAAGGATTTTGCAAGCAGTAATTCTAAGTGCATTTTAAATATATGTTTAACTATTTTAAAACTTAGCACAAAAATAAACAGAGAGACACTGGAGAGCTTGTGTTGATGACCTCATTCATGGGACGGAACTTGGCAATCAGCTGAAGAGTCTAAGGGCTGGCATGGCGTGCCACTCGGCACTTTCCCATGTACATGTTCTCTTCTGTATGAATGAGGGTTTATAGGTGCTGTACAACTTTAATTAAATATAGAAATGTCATATTGTGGTCTCTCTGAGATACCCCCTAGTCCATTTTCTGTTGCTAAAAAAAAAAAAACCTGAGACTGGTCATTTATAAAGAATAGAGGCTTATTTGGCTCCTGCGTCTGGAGGCCAGGACACCCAGGAGCTTGGTGGCAGCGTCAGCTCAGCGTCTGATGAGGGGCCTGCCTCTTGCTGCGTCACAGCTTGGTAGAAGGCTCCTGTGGAGATACAGAGCAAGCTGCTAGCTCAGATCTCTCTCCTCCTCTTATGCAGCCACTAATGCATCCTGGGCGCCCCCCCCCCCTCATAACTTCAGCCACTGATTCTCTCTTGAACATTAAGTCAGCATTGAGATGACTCTGGGGGTGACATGTCTGACATATTAACTTTTGGGGACACATTCAAACTATAGCGGCATCACCCAGTATCCCCAACAGCTGGTTTTAGGGTTTTGTTTGGATAAAAGGACTTTATTGGTTCTCCTTGAATGTCTTTATAACGAGTAAGTGGTATAAATTTGAATTTATTTACTGCATGTCTGCTAATAGCACCCATATGTTATATTTGTTAGGATTCAGCTTTAGATTTTGCTTGAAAAACACATTCCATTACTAAAAAATAACTGAAAACCACTGACCTGGATCGGTGCTTCTTTGTTTTGCTTTAAGCCCTTTTCCCTGGAGTTGCAGAGTTTCTGGGGATCCTTCCTGGAGGCAGGAGAAGGAGGAGGTGGGCACCAGGACCCAGCCCCTGCCTTGACTTCTGCAGACTCAGTCTCTCCCCACGCCCCGACTCTTGCTCCTGCTCCTTGTCCTGTGTCCAGGTCCACTGGTGGGGAAAGTTAGCTACCACTCATCTAGACCAACTTCTTTGTTTGCTGAGTAGGGAATGGAACGAGAGACAGCAAATAAACTTCACAAGGTAGAAAAGCCAGTTTGAGCCGGGTGTGGTGGCACACACCTGTAATCCCAGCAACTAGGGAGGCTGAGACAGGAGGATCACAAATTCAAGGCCAGCCTCAGCAACTTAGTAAGACTCTAAGCAACTGAGTGAGACTCTGTCTCAAAATAAAAACATAAAAAGGGTTGAGGATATGGCTCAGTGATAAAGTACCCCTGGGTTCAATCCCCAATACCAAAAAGAAAGGAAAAAAAAAAGAAAGAAAGAAAAGAAAAGCCAGCTCAAGGTAGAACCAAGACAGGAATACACCCATGCACTTTCCCTTCCACACCCTCTTTGCTGCCCATATTCTTTCCAAAGCCTCTCATTTATTTTCTTTAAATTGCCAATTCTGCTCAGGCACTTGAACATATGACGTTGTCAACTCAAGTTATATTAATAACACGACTTTTCAAGAGCCTGTGTATTGGCTGGGTGCAGGCACAGGATCTGGAAGAGTTAGCTTCAGAAATAGAAGCCTCACAGAATCCGCTCTCGTGAATCAACTAATTGTCCTTTCCTCGTTGTGTCCCTTATCCTGATTTCCGTGTTTAATCATAGCAAATATGCATTATTCATGACGCTTTTCCTCAGTTTGGTTTGCATGTTAAAATTAAACACTGGATAGGAAAGGGCTTGGGGGCCCCCACCTTGGAGGCTACAGCACAGCCTCGCTGTCTTCCCTTGGGGGAGTTTCGAGAGATCCTAGCCTGGGCAGGAAGGCACCAAGGCAGAGAGCTGGACCACCTACCCAGCCTCGCAGCGGTAGCTGGTGCATAGGGATCTTTAGGGGCCTCTTTAGTTCATTGCAATAAGACTGATCTCCTTTTATCCTCCCCCTGTCTCACCCACATCATGTCAGCTGTGTGGCTTATGCCAGGAGTGTATTTGTTGTACTTGGAATAATATTTAAATATTTGAAGACAGGTTTAAAATATCAAACACAAATTCTTGGAAAAAAAAAAAAAAGAAGAAAGAAAAAAAACCACAAAGACAACGTACGTACACCTTCTTTAACATACAGGGTTACTTGAGGAAAAGAGAAATTTCCGAATTTCCCATCCTCAACCCACAGATTGTCACTTTCTCAGTGTGGAGCTCAGAAAGGCAGAAGGAATTCTTTGGCAAAAAGTATCCTCTGTTTAAAATGTGCATATTGTATGCCTGTGTGTACATAAGGTATTAATTAGCCTGAGCTCTGGGCACACTCACCTGCGTGGATTTTGTTAAACGTTTGGAGCCGTCACGGAACACCAGGCTGGGGTATTTTGCTTCTGTGAAGTCGGAGTAAATATGGAATGGGTATTTTAAGGATATTGTCACTCACACAAAGCCCATACTGGAAAGGACATCTGCTAACAGTTCTTCATGTCACCAACAACATTATAGCGAAGTATCGAGTCAGGGGTAGCTCCTTCCCACTTCTGCTCAGACACCAAAACATAGAGGAAGCCATGTGAGCCATATGGCCAGCCTGACCCTTTGTTCTCTTGATTCACAGCCTGCGACATGAATGTTCACAAGCAGTGTGTGATCAACGTCCCCAGCCTCTGCGGGATGGATCACACAGAGAAGAGGGGGCGGATTTACCTGAAGGCAGAGGTCACCGATGAAAAGCTCCATGTCACAGGTAAGGCATGGTGGTCCAGGAGCAGCACTTGTGGTGGGAGAAGGTCAAGGTAATGCCAAGGCAGGGTGGGGGCTGGGCCCATAGCATCAGCTTGGAATCATCAACATCTAGAGCCCTGGCAGACTCAAGTTAACACGTGTCTCAGAAGACTGGTCAGTATACCCAAATTCCTGAATATTCAGTGTCATGTAAATGTCATATAAAGTTACAGCCACCATGTAAATAAAAATAAATAAAAGGTATTGTGTCCATCTACAACTAAAAAAAAAAAAAAACTAAAGAAATGAAAAGGAAGGAGAGAAAGTTCTAGAAACAGTTTACTTTGGAAAACATCCTCACTTTTTTTTTCCTTTGGAAAATAAGCATATTTCTACCCAGTACCATGTTCTCAGATAAGAATACAGGGAAACCAAGCAAAAGATCTTGAGGTATGACAAGGAGAGAGACCACGGCTGCCTCTGGAGGACCTCATGGGACAGAACTACTGTAGCCAACAGTCAAGAAGGAATTGTGAATTAGAGGTGAAATTCCTCATAGACACAGACCCCCCTTTGTCTTTTGTGTTTTAGAGAAGCTTCTTCATTTCTGCACACCATTCTGGTTGCATCTTTGCACTGGGGGAGGTGTGTGGGGGTGGGGGGGAAGCTGCTCAGCTCATGGCAGCTAAGAAGCAGAGAGAGAAAATGGAAGGGGTTGGGGACAAGATACAACCTTCAAAGTCACACCCTCAGCGACCTACCTTCTGCAACCGTGCCCCACCTGCCTAGTTTCCACCACCTCCCGGTAGTCCATTCAAATGATTAATCCATCAAATGGATTAATCCACTCATGAGGTCGGAGCCCTCATGCTTCAGTCATTTCCTAAAAGCCCCATCTCTGGACATGGCCCTGGGGACCGAGCCTTCAACACATGAGCTTTGGAGGGACATTCCAGATCCAAACCATAACAGCCCCTGTGACCCCGGCTCTCTGCCCAGAGGAAGTGGGGCCCCTTGGGGACCATGAGCTGGGCTTTGAGAACATTTGCAATGTCACAGGCTCACTCCTGTTTCTCCCTCTTTTTCACTATGGCTCCTGCATTGTCAAAGCCAAGAGCTGGAGGCAGGGAATATGCAGTTTAGGAGGAAATGACCATAAGACCTGGTAGGTGGAAAGAGAGCATCTAGCAGGAGGCCTATAGGGTAAATATTGCCTGCATGTCCTCACTTTTTCCTCCATTCCCAAAGCTTCTGCTGTTGGCAGTAATGTAGACCTACAGGTGAATAGTCAGAGTTTGATTATGGGGTTTCCAGGTAACACTGTAGGACTTGCTATAAGGCAAGAATGCCTGGACAGATGTTTAAGTGTCGTTCTTTGTGTTTCTGGATAAAGCAAGACATGTGCTGTGAATCCTGTATTCGACTGTGCCTTCTCCTCAAACAAAAGCAGCAACCACACTGTGCTGCCTGTTCATCCAGTCTCTTCTATAAGCCTCCAGAGTCTTGTAGAGATAAGCATGCACAGGGGCACAGGCGCCCTAGCTGGGGTGGCACAGAGATGCAAGTGAAAGGTCAGATCCCACCACACGGGGGCTCATGTCCTGCTAATCACCTACCCATCCCCAGGAACTGAGCTGGACTCACAGATGTAGAAACCACCTGAGGGTTCATCTCTTTCAATGAGATGGACAGGATGTTTCCCACATGATAACCAGCCAGCATAACTTATGGCAGCCAGCTAGATGGTGTCTCTGGAGAATTAGTTTAAAAAATTTTTTTGTATATATATAGTTCTACTCTAGGAATGAGAATGCAGAAGTAGTTCAATAATGAAAATGTCTTACTCCCTTTGAGCTGCCATAACACATTACCTTATAGTGGACCATCTATAAATAATAGAAATTTATGTCTCATAGCTCGGGAGGGAGGCTGAGAAGTGCAGGATCAAGGCAACAACAGATTCAGGGTCTGGCGAAGGCTTGCTCTCTGCTTGACAGGCAGCACCTCTCGCTGTATCCTCCCATGTAGAAGCAGGAGGAAGACGGTGCCCTCATAGCAGGAGGGCAAACATGCTCCCTTTGACTTCTTTTACAAGGGCAGTGATACCACTCACGAAGGTGGAGCCCTTGGGACTTGGTCATTTCCCAAATAGCCTCTCCTCACAACATCCTTGCACTGGAGATTAAGTGTCAACATATAAAATCGGGACAGACACCCATGTTCAGACCATCACAAACAGTAACAGCAGCAGCCCACACTATTGGGTGGTTTCCAGAAAAGGGCTGCTTCCTAAGCACTTTCCACGGCCAGTTTATGTAAATGTGTGAGAAACTTTGCTTTATGGTCTCACTTTATAGGTAAAGAAACCAGAAGCAAGGCAATATGCCCAAATGCAGACTGGGAAGAGAGAAGGAAATGGCTCCAGGTCATGGGTAGAAAGTGCTGGACAGGGTTCAGGTCTGCCCTTCTATGCCCGGACACTGAGCCAAACAAGTCTCTTTTCTTCAGTGAAGCCTCTTTTCGAGCAAATATTAAACCCATAAATATTTGCTAAAGCCTCCTTCAGCACTCCAAAAGGTACTTCAAGTTTACAGAAAGTCTAAACATAGGACTTAAAGCCAGAGGACAAAAGGTACTACATGAATGGATTGCAGAACAGTCCAAGGCCAAGTGTAATTAAGTGCCACATTATGTGGCCTCTAAATGGGACACCACTGCAAGATGCTCGGGATGGGGAGAGGCCAGGTAGGGAAAAGAGAGGCCCGTGGAGAAGAAGACCGAGGGCTGGAGACATTTGAGAGGGAGAGGGAAAGAGAGCTCCCGTTGAGAGATTGAATGGGATGCAGAATTAGCCGGGCTTTAATGAGAAGGCAAATATAAACAATAAGCCATAATGAGCAGAGCTTATGGCCCAAATGCAAGCAATTTCTTGGGGAAAAAAATGCATTTAAACCTAAACCCTGGGCAGCTGTGTTAATTGCTAGATTAGCTCAGTCCCCATTTTACCTGTTTAGAATTGCTCAGGTTGAAAATAATTTCCAAAGTAACACAGAAACTCCCAGTGGGAGAGCTCTGCACTGAGATGGAAGGCCCCCTTTTGAAATCAGAAGTGAGTTTTCTTCCTGGATTAGCCTGTATTTATGGGAAAGGCCTCTACCTTCATGGTGTATTTTTATTTTTTGCCTTTGGGCGATGGTGCTGATGTTATCAGAATAGTGTCATTCTTTTTTCCTCTAATAGGTGATTTTAATAGGCTTTCTACATTCTGGTATGCTATTTTATTTGGTTTGGAGAAGTGGTAAAAAAAAAATTCCTCTTGAACCAATTTTCAATTTAATGTTGTAAGTAAATGGAAAAAAATATCATGTGCTTTACAGCTGCTTCAGAAACACATCTCTCTCCCACAGATAGATTATTTCAAAGACGAGTCTAATTTTCACAAATACTTTGGGTGGTTAATGTAGCATGGAGATTGAAGTTCTGACCCAAGTTCTCATGGGGAGGGGAGAATTTCCTCCGGGTCTCTGGCTCCTTGCAGCATCCAGACCCCTCCTTCTGTCTACTTATCTAGGGCCTTGTGCAGCCCAGTGTTTGAGCCTCCCCTCCGCAGGGACTGAGACTCACCACCACGCTATTGTGATTAAAACGATAACATTTCTTCTGTGCTCTTCCAACCTCATCCGAGTGCGGTAACTGTAGAATCAAGGCAGTGAGATTTGTCTCTGAATAATAATTCATTCTTCAGTTCATCCATCATTATACATTTATCGAGCAAGTGTCTGGCAAAGTGACTAAGATGTGGACTTGGGGATGGGGTCGTGGGACTTGGGGATGGCAGAGCGCTTGCCTGGCATGTGTGAGGCCCTGGGTTTGATTCTCAGCACCACATAGAAATAAGTGAAATGAAGACGTTGCGTCTATCTACAACTTTAAAAATATTAAAGAAAAAAAATAAAGACGTGGAGTTGGGCCGTGGAACCTGTGTTCTTTGGAGGGAGGCTATTGGACAGTGGGAGCTTGGGAGAAGGGGCCTCAACTACCTGAGGAAGCTGCAGATGTCTGGGAAGCGGCAGTGGAGCCGGAAAGACAGGGCCTTCCGGGCAAAGATGCAGAGTGTTCGGAAAGCACGACTGCCCAGGATTTCAGGAATTTCTAGGGAGATGCAGGGAGAGCTGGAGGAAAATTATTTCTTTCCATTTCATTCATTTGTTTTTGCTTTGCTGTGCTGGGATTGAACCCAGGACCTTGCACATGCCAGGTGAGCGCTCTGCCGCTGAGCTGCACCCCAATCCCCTCTTTCCATTTTCAAGGGGCTGGGAGTGCAGTCTCCGCTGACAGATTGCACAGTCCTTGGGAGCCGTGTTGAACAGACTTTGAGTTCCATAGTCTTTCAAACAGGAGGATTTTAAGTTCCAGGTGGCTACATTTCCACTTGGCAGAGAGCCAGCCTCCCAGCCTGAACTACAGACTTCACCCCAGGGTCACAGTGACCACACACTCTCTGGTGACAGCAAGTGCAACATTGGTGACCTGTTTGCCTGGAAGCTTTGCACAGGTACCTTCCCGGCTGGCAGGCAGCGTGGGGCTACCAGCAGGCAGGAGCTGGACAGAGCTGTTTATTTGAGGGGAAAGGTATCACTTATCATTTCTATTAAACAAAACCTTGGCTATGGGCTTTGGAGCCAGATCAGGAACTCAATGCAGCTGAAGAATCTGGTCCTTCAGATTGGCTAGAGGGAGGGTGCCAGCGGCTTCTCCTCAGGTACCACCAGGTGCATTACTGGTGATGCTACATGGATCACCTCACTGTGGTGTTCTATTGCGTCCCTTGACTGCAAAGGTCTCTTTTTTATTTGTAACTAGTTACGGAGTCTTAGTGTTGTCCTTGTGGCCCGGCAACCTTCCACCCAATGGAATGGACATTCATTGATGAATCCCATTCGATTTTTATTGATGATCACAAAATGTTCATTTCCTAATTCTGTATCCTTCAGGGTTCATTAGCTGGCATTCGTCTGAAAG